TTTGATGTTTATCTCGAAAAATTATTATAAAATGAATACGATTTTGATCTAGACCGGCTTCCGTGTATTATGTATATTATAGGCACGTATAGAGAAAAATAATAATATACCATTTATAAATTATTATTATTTTATACTTTTTGCAGCTAAAAAAAAGTGCAGAATAAAAAAATTTAAAAAACACTATCTAATTACAAAAGGTTGTTAAAATACCTACACATTTGATAAGTATATTAACTACAAATACTTAACGTAAGTTAAGTCGTACTTGACGTACTTAATACAAAAGCATTATTTATATTTTGTATAAATCATGTATTATATATTTCACGTTTARAATATATTGTTAAATCAAATTCAAATACGAATCGAATAAATTATGAGGATATTAAATTTAATATAAATTATACCTTCCTGGGGTCGATGAGAGTATAGCGTGGCAAATATATTAACATATTAAGTATTATACATAATATTCAGCTGGYAGCTATAACTTAATAGTTATTAATTTATTATATTTAAAAGTCAACTGTCCATAAATTGTATTCACTCTATGTCTCTATACTATAGTCTATAGTACTTAGATAATATAAGAATAGTCTATTGCATGGGTGGCCAACATGAATACGTCCACGAGCCATATGGATAAATACAATGATACCAAGAGCCAAATGTTTATAAATACATTTCATAATTTTTATAATTTTATCCTATATTATCGTTAATAAGTAAATATTGATTTTTTTAATAAAACACAAGCCGCATACGACTATGACGTAAGCTACAAATTGTCCACCACTGCAGGTCTATTGTAAATTCAATATTTTTGCTAAACTATAGATCATATTATTTTCATTACCAGCTAATAATATTGTATTAGATATACATTTTAATTAACTTTTTATTAAATCAAAATATCGGTACCCTAATTAAACATATTATATGTAATATTTATTTTTATATCTCTGATTGTTTTGAACCATAAATCTTTAACTATACAAAATTAACATTTTTAACTACAAAATAATTTACAAATAATCGTGATTTTGATGAAGTTTATCAAA